CGCTACTAGGGGCTCCTGGCATCGCTACTAGGAGCAAGGATGCTACTTGGAAAACAATGTCATGGACAGTCTCTGCATGATTGATCCACGGCCCAATGTGACACGTAAGTGCACAACTCACCAACAAACACTTAAGTCATCTTATTCTCAGATGTTTTTTTTCTGAAAATGCAATCCCCTACAAGAAAAAACACGCAGACGCCGCCCTTTGCTTCTCTCTTGAATCGGCATCGTTTAGTCCCTCCCTTGGATACTCTTGCGTCCATGTGTCGGCATGTCTGTTGGTCCCTGTGTCTTAGCTGTACTGGTTTAGGACTTGAACAGCACCTCTTGATGCTGATGCAGCAAGCGCCAGGGCTGCTCCACCGGGGCATCTGTGAAGTCCAAACGTCCTTGGTTGATCCAAGTCTCCCACGGTTTGGACACGAGTCCATTTGTCCCCACTGGATTTGAAGGTGTTCACAAAAGGGTGGAAGATGGTGGAAGGTTTGTCAATTTGTGATCGAACAAATCAATAAACGACGTTTTATCAATTTCTCTAATCTTCACCTGCATAGAATTATGATGATATGCGATGGCCTCAAGCCTTGTCGTGAAGAACGGGCTCAGCCCGAAAGGAGGCGCAGCGCTCCCAAGCGCACGCAAGTGGTTGGGAGCGGATCGCGCTCGAAACCCTGTACCACAGTACTGCCCTAAAGCAGCGAAATGTCTCTGTCCTCCAACCTAGAAGCAATGGTCTCCGACCATGTTCTTTAAATCTGGAGATGAAGTAGGAGAAACACCCGGATTGGCTTGAGGTGCTTAAATTTGACCTTCTCCACAAAAGTGGGTCCACTTGATGGTTTGGCTTGACATGGGGATTTGGGAGGGCTTCACTAGCCCCACCAGTGAACTGGGACGTGCCAGGAATCAATCATGATGTTTAAAGTACATCGGGAAGCTCAAAAATGTGTCCAAAGTTCTTCGCAGTTTCAGAATTTTGAACATCTGCAGTTATCGGATCAACAAGTTACTATATATAATATATTATGTATACTAGGTGTGGTTCCAGTACTTTGAACAACCCTTCCACAAACATGATCCACGTCCTTGTAACTGGATTCTTTTGAACGAAAGTACACTTGGAACAATGACACCGGCAGCAATCACCAGTCTCTTGGGATTGTTGTTCACGTCCCCAAAACAGTAGCAATGCCAGGAGCCCCTAGTAGCATCCTTGCTCCTAGTAGCGATGCGCTTTGCTCCTAGTAGCTTCTTGTTCCTAGTAGTAAGGCCAGGAGCCCCTAGTAGCGTCCTTGCTCCTAGTAGCGATGACCTGATGAACAACTTGGGAAGTCCAGGGTAGTTTGATTTTGTTGGGGGGTTCAAGCAGCATACGCTGGATCGTGGCTTGGTTGTATACGCAGTAGGCAATGCTTTTCGTTGGTTCAATCGAAAGTACTAAGATTGGAAAGCTCCCAAACCAACCCAAATCACGTCTTCCTGTTCTGTTGTATTTGTTTCTAATAGCGATGGCCTCCAACCTAATAGCGATGGCCTCCAAACCAAAACATGATGACCTCTGCAACTTCCGTTCCTGAAGTGGGGTGGGCTGTCTTCGCGCCATAGAAAATATATTTATCAAAGCGTATCCGGTGCTTTTCAAGAAGGACACCGCAACCACACTTTGAGGCTCGCTTCAGGTTCACAATCGTGCTTTTGGGAGACCAGGATTCAGAGGAATGTGCCACTTTCGGGGCAGAGCAACACAGCAAAAAGGACCATGGAATCATATGATAACCTGAAAGCACTGATCATTCTTGAACACCCAAGATCGATCGGTCTTTGGTCGAAGCGGCTCCAAAGGCAAGGCAGTGCGGTGGCAAGGCGACATGCCCGGCACAGGAGGCCATAAGGTAAGTAGCCCCAAACCTGGCGTCGGAGGCCGCTGGTAGGAGCAGGAGCAAAGGGCAAGGCTACGAACGGAGCATGGACGCTGCTAGGGGCTCCTGGCCTTACAGATGTTTGGTCTTCTTTTTGTTTGGTAAAGCCACCCGGCGGACAACCGTCCGATACCGTCCGCTTTGAACGTGTTTCTGCTAGAATGTCCAAACGTTGAACACATGATCGAGCCTATACGTATATGTGGAACGCTGGGCAGGAGGATCATTCAACTTGATCCAATCAATTTACTATGTATTCACGTGCTTCGGTGGTATATAAGGAGGCCATCACTCGGCAGAGTCACTTCTGATTTCAAGCATTGAAGACATACCTGTAGAGGCCGCGTTGCTTCATGCAGCTTCCATCAGCCAAGGGTTGATTAAAAACCACTTCGGGGCATAGATGAGGAGCATCGACCTGTGTCATCGAATTTGGGTCTAACGATCTATGCCCCACTCTATAAGGGATGTTATGATTTAATTACAGGATGTAACCTTGTCCCGAAGCATTTTTGTTGAAGGTTTCCCTATTGTTTCCATCAAGCTCCCTCAGTGCTTCTTTGCGTGGACTTACTGGCTCCCCATTCCCCATCCATCCTTCTTCACTCTCCTCACGTCCGGAACATAGTCCGTGACCGACCGCGCTGGCCGTGCCGCGCCCCACACGGTGTCACCTCCTCAGAGGAGCCCAGGTGTCGCAGCACTTGGAGGTGAAGACTATCGGGCCACTCAGCTGCCATGGCGCCACAGTTCTGCCGACGTCTGGGAGTGACTCGGCTTGGCTGTTCTGGTCACTCGGTGGCGGTGTTCACCTACACTCGGGAGGGCAGTTTCCGGTGATTTGAATGGAGTACGTCAGTGGAGACAATGCCAAGATAGACCCAGCAGTTTCAGTCCTCCTTGAGATATCCGTGGAACGATCTGAATTGGAAAGCGGTGGAACGATCGAAGGACAGTGGCGGCCAGTGATCATATCAAGTTTCTCCATGGTACTGGTAATGTCCCTGGAACTACATCCTTCTGCTTGAAGTGATAAATTGCCGAAGCTGAACACCGCGACTCCGCCTTGGAGGCACCGAGCCACAAAAAGCAAACCATATCAACGACTCGACCGTCGGCTGCCAGCCGGCCGGACCGTCCACTCTATAAAGAAACCGCAATGCCCCGGCTGGGTGAGCATCTTAGATGATTTCATCATCTAAAGACACCGACTTTCAGGGTAAATGCACAGAAAGCATCCCATCTGTGACTGGACTCCACATATTGAAACTCTCTGTCTTTCCAGCTGGGCCCCTGCTTGTCACTTGTTGTAAGTTAAAAGTATTAGTCATCATTGATACGGGCGTGTATTCAAAAAGGGAGACCTCCCAGAGACACCCTGGAAGAATGAGAGAACTAGACCAACACCCAGATGGGGTCTCCATATTTTTTCAATACACATCCCATACTGAGGAAAAGACGTTGAGTCTGCTTGGTCCGCCAACGTGGATGACTTGGCCACTGCGACTTGGCTGCTTCTGCTTTCAAGATGAACTGCGGGACCTCGACGACGGAGTTGAGCCATTTTCGGTGCGGACTTGAGCTAAAGTCTCTTCTAGTGATTCGGTAGCAAATAGTGTCAGTGCTTCTATGTGATTCTTGTATGTTTCGTTGAACCTAGGGGAGGAAGCAAGTCACTTCGGTAGTCAATGCTCGTAGTAGTTGAAAGTACTGTAACAAAAGCACGGCCTGACCTGGCTGAATAGCACGCAGAGCACACTCGTGACAAACAAACCGCAAAAACTGTGCACCTGTCATTGAAAGTATCGGTGCAAATGCCTTTCACGACCTCTTGGGGTAAAGACGACAGCAGAAAGGCACTTCAAGAACATTTTACATATATAGACTTCCTCAATTCACAATCATATCAGGGTTCTGAGTAGTCTTGTTCTGGGTGATACACTTATATCTGGAGAAATGCATACATGTGTGTACACTCCAACACGCCATGGTCTGCATAAGGCACTACAGTTCTTTAGAAGGCTTTGGAGCTATTATAGAGATTTGAGGCAAAAAGAGTGCTAACCTGTATATGCCCTTCGACCCTTCTCCAAGCTTTTTGTTGCCTTTGCAAGCCTTGCACGTGGAAGTCATCTCCAAACAAAGCATTGGGTGGCGACTCCTCTCTACACTATCCCGTTCCTGGGTGTGGGTTCAACTTTTCTTCTTCTTCGAAGTCTTAGTTCCTTTCTGCTTCTTCCTGTGCGGAATAGTTATTTGCTTGTTCAGCTTTTCATCCGAAATGCGCTGGTTGCGATTGACGGCGCTCACAAGTCTTGAATACTTTGCAGCTTTTAAGGGGTGCCACCGCTTCCCCTTTCTTTTTGTCCACGTCCAGGGTTGCTGAAAAGCTCCTGCCCGAAGAAGTCTTTCCGCCACTCGGAAATGACCCCGACGTACGGCCCCAAGCAGAGGAGAAACACCTTCACAGTCCACTTCATCCACAATAGCTCCGAGCCCAATGAGTCGCCTTACCAACTCCTTGTTGCCTGAGCTTCACAGCAGAGACAAACAAGCAACACCAAGGTGCTAGCAACAAAGTCAAGATGAGCGGAAGTAACCAAACAAAAGAACCAGCAACCAGCACAACCTGGAACACAGTTTGGGGCCCAAAATGATCCAATATTAGTTTCCTTTCAAAAACCTATCCTAGGAAAGAAAACCACAACGAACCAAAGAATAGAAAACAAGCACCACTCAAACACCCAGAAACCTGTTGCTGCAGCACGCCACAAGGGGCTTCGGCCCCACTCATCGTTCATCCAGAAACTTCGCGTTCGAAAGTAAGAGCTCCATTCAGTTTCTGAATACCACATACCATCCTCACCGTAAGCGCCATCCTCGGACAATGCCTCGGATGATTCTGACGACGCCTCGGAGGCATTGTCGTCCCAGTCTAAGGCTGATGCATGATGAGTGACGCACAAATGCGTCTGAACGCCTTTCAGGTTGGGAAACTCCCGTCCACACGCCGCTGCTGGCGGCATGGAGGCCAAAACTCCACCGTCAAGCCGTCGGTGGTGGTGGTCAAACCGTTCAGAAAGGGCTGATCAACTATGCCCACCTCCACCTCAACTCGACGGATGGCAGCAGCTTTCAAGCACCAAAGCCTTCGATTGTTTCTGGAGTACCACTTTCCAGAATGAAAGACAATACTGATCCTGGGCAGGTCTGATGCTACTAATCTACCACTCCGCAACTGCTGAGCAACCTCTGACAGCGCCCGTCCACATGTAAAGAGGCGCTGCAGCTTGTTGTGCGTCCAACGGAGCTCAGATGGATCTACCCAAATCAAGCTGCCACTTTCTGGCTGAATCAAACTCTTTAAGCAAACCACTGAATCACTGGCTCTATCTGTACCCAAGGGCGGAACTGTTTCAAGACCTCTTGCCTGTAGTGGAACAGTTTGAGCATCAGTGAACTCTTTGGTCAATGCAACTGGTATTTCAGCCGGTGGTTGAGGTCGTGCCTTGGCTGGTACTGCCATTGACTGCTGTGGAGGGGAAGAAGTCGGAGTGGCCAGCTGGACAAGCAGCGTCTGATCATCAACCGAGAAGCTGTGCTTTTGCAGGAAACCCCTCAGCTTGCCTAGGCCACGTCCAAGCTTCTTCCAGATTGGCAGCATTCCCAGTTTCTGCATTTCGCATGGCTGGCATGACTTCAAATATCTCCTGAACTCTGCGACAATCAGTTCTGTTGGTGTCTGCGGATGTTGAGGACCCTTGGAAGGGAGACCGTCTGCCAGCGCCAGGACCATTTCACAAGGAGAACCTGGCAAAAGCGGCTCGGAAGTGACACGCCCGCCAGCTCAAACAGCAAGGCAGGGCTTCAGTTCATACTTCTGTGTCATAGGCTTGAGCAACATTGCTTCATGCATGGAATTGGTCTTTGTGACCATCAAGGAAGGGACAACACACTTTGTATGTATTCTGAGTGTGTCTCTTGCAACAGAAAAGCATCAAAGGCGCTGACACCCACAATTGAGGCAATCAGGTATCCACAAATACCCAAACCCTTCGCGTGTTGGGTGGAACGGAGCTGCACGGCTGGCTGCGGAATTGGGGCAGGCGGCTTCTTTTTCGACGGTGACACTGAGGCAGGCTGCGCTGAGCCGGCTGCTGAAAGGCCTCGGAGGGTGACAGTTGGGCCAAACTCCAAAATGGAATCATGAAAACTCAGCCAAGCAGCTGCCTTCCTTGGAGGATTTTGTAATTATGCTAGAAGCAATGGCCTCCAACCTAGAAGCAATGACCTCCAACCTTGAAGCAATGGCCTCCGACCTAAAAGCAATGGCCTCCAACCTAGAAGCAATGGCCTCCAACCTTGAAGCAATGGCCTGCTTAGCCAGCGCTTCTAGGTTGGAGGCCATCGCTAAACACAATTTCTTGGCGCTTTTTGAGATACCTTCGGTCACACCTCTAGGAGCTCGACATCCTAGGACTCAATCCTTGATTGGTCGATCACCATGTGGACTGCATCACATGCTTCAGTGATATCATTAGTGTTTGGTTCTACACTGGCTCCGGGCTTACTAGCGCTACGAGTACTATGTGAAGACTACTTCTCCTCATTTCTCCTCTAGCTCTACTACTTCTCCTTGACCACATCCGCATCGACCAATTCTTCAAGTTGCGGGAACATCCCACCTCCGTGCTTGCTCTCCAAGCAACTCAAATCCGCGCTTTCAAGCGAGCGGGCTGCTTGCGCGCAGCCCAGGAGTCAATCACACCTGGCTGATCGGACTGGTGGAAGAGGCCTTGATAAGCCTTGCTTTCCGGTTGGAGGCCATCGCACGTAGCGATGGAAATTCGACCTTTAGAGTCAACGGTGGTATTTGGATGATCGCTGTTCGACGGGGGTTGATATCGCTGCGGTCTTCCCCACAAATATCTACGAGCGGATACTGGTTGTTTCGTTCTTGGGCCTACCTCTGGGGATCCAATGACCTTCATCGGTGATTGGCAAGGTTTACGTCGCGTTCTTCATGGGGTAACAGGTTGATGCTTTGAACTCACACGGATGAGCAACTGCCAAGTTCCGGTCAACTGCTTGGGCGCTTCATCACCAATTCTTGAAAGGAGCAGAAATAATAATTGGATATAATTGGTGGTTATTCCAACGTGATGGATTGATGTCCACGGTGGGAAATCCCTCCATGAAACCACAGCTTGTTGCTGGGTCAAAGGGATGAAGAACATCTGTCTTTTCAGGGAAAGAGCTCTTGCATAACATTGAAACATGAGGTGACCCACGTAATAGGAATGGCCTCCAACCGTATAGCGATGGCCTCCAACCTATGATTTCTCATTTCTGTAGCAAAAGGACATCCAAATGGCCCATTTCCATGCTTGTTGGTTGCTATCCCAGTCTCACATGCTCCACACATTTGGCCGCTGCCTGAAGCCAATCCACAAGAGTCGTCCCGTCCGACCTGCTTGTGATTCCTTTGGCAGGTGCTTCACCAGCTGCAACGGCGGGACGATGGTGCCAACCTCCGACCGCCGAAGGAATCACATGGACTTGCCAGTTCATCAGCGGTTTCCGGAAAACACGTGATGTGTAGAAGAAATCGCTTCGCAAGAATCCCTTCATTCAACTGATCGTGCATGAGTTTGACCAACATGGGAATTCCGTCAGCCAGGAGTTGCATCTGGCCCAGCTGGTCATGCTTAGACGAAAAAGCATCGGAAGCCTCTTGAAGAGATATAGACTGCCATTTAAGGGGAGATAGAGAAGTCTCTTGAGCTTTGGCGGCTTCAGCCCCTTCCCTTCGGTTGCTCCCTCGCCTTGCTGAAGAACTTGGGCTTGATGCGCTGGAGATGTGCTGGCAACGCCTGGGGGCCGAAGAGACGATGCAGAGCCGATGGTCCCTGTCACACGGCTGAAGGAAAAAAACACTCATTGCTATTAGCTTTGTTACTAGTAGCGTGGCACTTGTTACTAGTAGCTTCCAACAGTGGTTGGGAGCAAAAATCAAGGCTTCAGACTAGGATTTTTTCTCGCGTGAAGCTGAAGCCCAAGGATCTATGGCCGAAGGATTTGTTGCTGCGAGCCAGGTGAAGAAAACCAACGGCTATTGTAGAACACGTGAAGATAAGACCTTGTATTCTTGCATCATTCTGTAAATTGATTCTTTTCGTTGTGCCTGCTGTTTGTGGTTTTGGTTCATCCTGATACAAATCCACATTTGTGGTGGTCAAAACATTAACATGCTACGTAGTCATTCTGCTGCCATGGTATCCCTCTTCATGGTTCCCTATCGCTCCACACAGTCCCAATCAAAAGACGAAGAACCCTGCAATCTCTCTGAACCCTGAGGATTCTTTGTGGTTCCTCATTGAAGCTCCGACAAGTAAGCCATTGTTTCAACAAATTGCAAAGGTCCCCCACGTATCCGGCAACAAACTCAGACCTGACCTATGCCAATATCACAATTCTGATTTAACAAGGGCTTGGCAACTCCAGTTGCAGGTTGCACACCTCTCTGACGTGGGAAAATATTGACGTAAAACCGCCCGGCCTTTTGTGAATTTCGTCCTAGAAAAAGAAGCACCAGATTCGAGCAAAATGGTTACATGCTCCAAGCAGCATTCCATTCAGGGCCGGATGGCATCCTCAGCTCCTTGAGGGGCCAAGCTGGACAGGATCGGGATTCCAAGGATGGCATTGGATGGCTGGACAGATGGGATGGGCCGGATGCTTGGAAGTGAACTGTAGAGAATTGACATCCAAGGCCAGGACGTCCACTTCCATTTCAGGGGATGGAGGTCTCTTGTGCTCATCATCCGTGCTCTGAAAGAGCTTGGTGAATTTCCTCGCAAGTTCACCTCATGGAGAACTTCGCTTTCCGGTCTTTGTTCTCGGAATTGGCCATGTCAAAAGAAAGGGTGGTGTTAGGTGTTCGAGAACTATTTCGTCCTGTTGCGAGACCGAGTTCCACTGTGGTCCACATGGCGATCTGCAATACCAGTCTTCCTTCAAACGAAGGCCCCTGTTCTTTGGGGTCTCTCACCGACCGGCGGCCCCGGCGCCCTCCGCCCGCAGCCCCTCTCCTGGTTGTACTGAGCAGGAGTGAGGCCATACGGCACCTTTCGGACTGGACGCCGCGTGCGCGAAGGGTCCACGGACGGCCCAAACCGAACCGGTTTCCCATGGCTCGTTCAACGGAGTTGGACGTGAACATCACCAAGCAAAGCAGTGTTCCTCCGAACAAGGCCTACACACACAGGTACCAGCTGAACATGGATGAAGAACTAATGGAGAAGAAGTCTTGAGGTCTGTGTTGCCTTGGCGACTTTTTGCTGGTTGAAGATCCCCCCAAAAGTATGTAGTCAAGTGCCACAACATGTCACAACTGTTCAGCTCCTTTAAATGTTCGGATGTTGTATGTGTTGCAAGTTTCACACAAAGCTACATGCCACCTCATAGTCTTCAAATGTACTGATTCACCAACATTGGGAAGCAAAAGTCCCATGCCAAGGGGTTCCGCCATGATATCGGTCAAATCAAACGATCAATGTTGGCTCTCCATATTCATAGGGCTTAATGAATTCATATTGAGATTCAGATGGACATATGAGATGAACCGTTCGAACCTACTAGCAATGGCCTCCAACCTAAGAGCGATGGCCTCCAACCTAGTAGTACCCCAGAAAGCTGTACACTGTACAAGCCTAATCCACGTGTTGAAATCTGGGCCTTTCACACGGCTGGTACTGAAAAATACCCGGCGATCCTCTTGTCCAACCGTCATGCGGAAAGGTCATGTGCTGCTCTGCCTGGTCGACGAAGTATTTGGATGCCTCTGCCCTGCCTTCGTAGATGCCTTGCTGTCTGGTTGATCCACAAAAACTGAGTGGATCAAAAGGGAGATCAAAGGGTAGGTAGCAGGCCATCCTCCCCTCTGTGGAGGGTGCTCACACACGGTTGTCAAAAGTATGACATCTACTTGATCATCAATTTCCTGCATGTCAAACACAATTTACTTTAATGCCCAATTCCAACCATCCTTTCCTTTGGTCGGGAGTTGGAAACAGCAGTCCATATGTGCTCCAACTGCTCAGGTCGGATAGAGAGGCGAGGACGTCATTGCTCGATACCCGAAGGACGTCATTCTTGAGGCAACCCACGGCATTGTGGTGGACTCCGCCTACAGTCCGCCGCTTACACTCACCATCCGACCATCCACATGAGTTCAACAGAACAAGTCTTCAGTTCTTTCCTTCTTGGCATCCAAAATACTCACGTGGCTAGGCTTTGGCTTCCTGGCAGGGCTTCAGTTTTTGATTGTCTCCAACATACGTTATGTCGAGCCGAGCATATGGCCATGGGACAGAGTGAGAGTCTAGAGTTATTAGGTTGGAGGCCATCGCTAGTAGGGTTGAGGCCATCGCTATTAGGTTGGAGGCCACCGCAGTGTTGCTGGAACTCCAGGGTCCAGCCATGATTGTCTAGAGCTCATGCATCGCCAACAGGAGACAATATGAAACAAATGAGATTCCATGGTGCCTGAAAGAATGGTGAAATTCTTGGAGTGTGCAGTGGAGGCCCACTTAGGTGCTTGAAGTTGGGGTGGAGGTCCTGGTGCTTTCGCTGCTGTCGCTGGTATAGAGTTTCATAAGGCCGTGAGGCTTGCAGGATTTGCTACTCAAGTGTGCTTCGAGCGCGATTCAAACCTCGTGCCTCTAGACTTTCTATATTCGTTCCTGTCTTCATCTGTCTTCCTTTCATAGTAAACGGCTGGAAACCGAGTGGTTGTGGGGTCCAGATTTTGGATTGAAGACTTGCTGTTCTGACATATATTGCCAAACATGAGTTTCTTGTCAAACTTCTTCTGTGAACGTCCATTTCACTTCTTTGAGACACACCTT